CTTGTCTCGAACTTTGGGTCTACACCTTAGGCTAACAATCTCCCACTTTGAGACCAAAGTGCCTGCAATAAGTTCACCTGAACTCTCCCCTTCTTCGCATGTATCTTTTCCCCCGAAAAATTCTTACTTCAATCAACAATATTTCGTCAATCTCGCCGATCCTCGTAGTGTGGTTCCGCCTTCGTCTTCTACTCGTGAAGGTCAACTGAAGTTGCGCACAACTCCAGTTTCTCAATGGTGACTGCCTTTGTCAACATGTCCGCCGGATTTTGACTCCCTAAAATCTTCATTAAATACAACTTTCCGTCCTCAACTAGCGAGCGTATAAAATGGTATTTGACGTCGATATGCTTCGTTCTGGCATGATATACTGGATTCTTAGCAAGATGTATAGCGCTCTGGCTATCACAATAAAGAACTCCTCTCCCTTACTTCAGATCTAACTCTTCCAAGCACCCGTTCAACCAGATCATCTCCTTGCTTGCTTCAGTCACCGCGACATACTCAACCTCGGTTATAGACAAAGTCACAATCTTCTGCAGACGTGAGACCCAACTCACTGCTGTCGACGCTAAGGTATAAACATACCCCGTGGTGCTTCGCCTCGTATCATGATCACCGGCGAAGTCCGCATCCACGTATCCCTGCAGCACCAATTCCTTCCTCCTGAAACATAGTGGCTTGTTCGTTGTCCCCCTTAAGTACCACATTATCCACTTCACGGCCTCCCAATGCTGCTTTCCTGGATTGCTTGCAAATCTGCTCATAACTCCCACTGCATGGGCGATGTCCGGTCTCGTGCAAACCATCGCGTATATGAGACTCCCAATGGCCGAAGAATATGGCACCCTGCTCATATGCTCTCTATCTGCATCTGTCTTAGGCGATTGCTCCTCAGATATCTTGAACTGACTTTCAAGGGGTGTGCTAACAACTTTAGCATTCTGCATGTTAAACATCTGAAGTACCTTCTCAATGTATTCAGCTTGGTTCAATCTCAATGTCCCTTCAGCTTCATCCCTACTGATTCGCATCCCTAGAATCTGCTTCGCTGCACCCAGATTCTTCATTATAAATTCCTTTGCTAGCTGCTTCTTCAAACTGTTTATCTCTTCTAAACACGGTCCTGCTACCAACATGTCATCAACATATAATAACAAAATAATAAAGCTGGACTCGAACCTTTTGAAATAACAGCAATAATCCGAATTGCATCTTCTGTAGCCATTGTTCTGCATGAAGTTATTAAACTTCTTATACCACTGTCTCGAAGCCTGTTTCAAACCATATAAGCTCTTCTTGAGCTTGCACACCATCTCTTCCTTTCCTTCTTCAATGAAGCCAACAGGCTGCTTCATGTAGATTTCTTCATCTAAGTCACCATGAAGAAAGACAGTCTTCACATCTAACTGCTCAAGGAAGAGGTCTTCTGCAGCTACCAAACTCAACACCACTCTGATGGTTGTGAGTTTCACAATAGAGGAAAATATCTCCGTGTAGTCTACTCCTTCCCGCTGTTGAAACCCTTTCACGACTAATCTGGCCTTGAATCTCTTGCTTCCATCACTCTCCTGCTTGACCCGGTAGACCCATTTATTATGCAATGCTTTCTTCTGTGCAGGTAGCTGGGCTAACTCTCATGTCTCATTAGTGAGTAGAGAATCCATCTCCTCCTGCATCGCATGCTCCCACTGCTGAGATTCACTCACTTGCACTGCCTCTTCATAACACTCCGGCTCTCCGCTATCTGTTAAGAGTAGATAATCAAGTGACGAGAGGTATTTGGGATTTGATTTGGGTGCCCTGGATGACCTCCTAAGCTCCACGCCCTGGGTAGTAGCTTCTGCACCTGTAGTCTCATCCGTTCTACGGTCAGAACTGACATCGTCGCCCCCATCTGGAAGTTCCTCCAAATCTATGTACTCGGATCCACCTGCATCCGTAGTGCTGCTCCCACTGCTTTGGCTATCCTTAGCATTGTCCCTGTCCTTGTACATCACCTCCTCATTGAATATTACATCCCGGCTCCTGATGATCTTCCTGTTCTTCTCATCCCAAAGGCGATACCCGAACTCATTAATGCCGTACCAATGAATGTGCACTTCTGTGACTTAGCTTCTAGCTTGTCCCTAACATGGTCACTGATATGAACATAAGCCACGCAACCAAATACCCGTAAGTGTGAGAGATTTATCTTCTTTCCACTCCAAATCTCCTCTGAAATCCCAAAATCTAATAGAACTGATGGCCTGTGATTGATAAGGTATGCTGCTGTATGCACCGCATCCGCCCAAAATGTCTTAGGTAGACATGCATGTAATCGCATGCTCCGCGCACGCTCTGTCAAGGTCCTGTTAATCCTCTCTGCAATGCCGTTCTGCTGCGGCGTCCCTGGAGTAGTCCTCTCTAAGCGAATCTCATTCGTAGCACAGAACCTCTTGAACTCCTCCAGCTCGTATTCTCCACCATTATCTGATCTCAAGCACTTCACCTTCAGATCTGTCTCGTTCTCGACCATGGCCTTCCACTTCTTGAAGATTTCGAACATCTCTGACTTGTGCTTCATGAAGTAAACCCATACCTTCCTCGAGTGATCGTCGATAAAGGTGACGTAGTATCTCGAACCGCCAAAAGAAGACACACTGGCTGGGCCTCATACATCTGTATGAATCAATTCTAGCTTCTGAGTCTTAGGTGGCCTTCCACCCTTCTGGAAACTAACCCTCTTCTGCTTCCCAAAGATGCGGTCTTCACAAACCCCCACTTCCACGATGTCGATCCCGGTTAGCTTTCCTTGTGAATGTAGAATTTTCATCCCCTTCTCGCTCATGTGTCCCAGCCTGTTGTGCCACAAATCTGTACTCTCCTTGTCAGCTGTAATTGCGAGTGTGTCACTCCCATGTGAAGTGAGGTAGAGAGTTCCTATTTTATTACCTCGGGCAACAACCATAGTACCGTTGGAGATTCTCCACGAATCCCCGATGAATGTCGAAACGTAGCCTTCTGCTCTAAGCTGTCCCACGAAACAAGATTCCTCTTCAGCTTCGGCACGTGTCTCACGTTTTTCAAATTCCACTTAGAGCCCTTTATTTGTATCTGAACGTCGCCCTTTCCAACAATATTACAAGGTTCATTATCCCCCAAATATACTTTACCAAAGTTCCCTGCTACATAGTTCTGAAGTAGCTTCTTATTAGCAGTGGCATGGAAAGAAGCTCCTGAGTCGATGACCCAAGAATCAGAATCGCTATTTATAGCAAGGATCAAGGCATCCTGCACGATATGAGCCCTCCTGCTCACCCGCATCCTTCTTTGGTGCTTTACAGACCGAAGACATATGGCCCTCATGGCCGCAGTTCCAACACTTCCCTTTGATGGACCTAACCTTCGAGTTCGGCCTCTTCTTCACTGATTTCGATCGATTCCTGTTCTGGTTCCCTTTCTTCTGGCTTCTGCCTCTCTGCTCGAAACTTAGAGCTGAACCTGAACCTTCTGATTCGGACGATTTCCTTCTAACCTCCTCGGATAGAATCATGCTAACAACCTCATTCAGCTTCAACTTCTCTTTCCCCGCCGAATTGCTGATTGTCGTCACACAACCTGCCCAACTATCTGACAACTGCGATAGTAGTAGAAGGCAAATTGGACGAAAGATCAACTCCCTTGTATGACCCCAAAAAGATCCTTGAGCGCAGGTTTTTTAACATGTTGACGCCGGTTTATGAGTTTGAGTAGTACGAGTTGTTTGGGTCTTTTCTTTTTTCGATTGATTTGGACGATGCCCTTCGTCATCGAACGTGATGTCCACGGAGATAAGTTGATCAACAATCGTGTTGAACTCGCTGAGGTGCATCGTGAAGGACTGTCCTTCTGCCATCTTGAGGTTGAAAAGAGTTTTGACTAGATGCACATTGTTTGCTGCCGACGGTTGCTCGTACATCTTCGCGAGCGCTTTCATAAGCCCCACCGTCGTCTTCTCCTTCAGAATATTGTGGGCTACTGATTTGGCGAGCGACAACCGGATTTGCCCTAGAGCCTTCCTATCCAGTACCTCTCAATCACCATCTGACTCCTCTTTCTTTTTTCCCTTTTCCTTGTCCATCAACGGGCGATACAAGTCCTTCTGGTACAGATAGTCCTCCATTTGCGACTTCCAATAGACAAAGTCTGAACCGTCAAACTTCTCGATCTTTGATTTGCTTTCCTCTGCCATGGCTTTCACACAAATTGCCGAACGAAGCTCTGATACCAGTTATTGGAGATTCGAAACAATCAATCGAACCCTTGCCCTTCCGGACCTTGTGTTGAAAGTAGGAAAGTAGGAAAAATACCGCAAATAAAGATCTAACCTTGCAAAAACAGTAAAGGAGAAGAACACACAGATTTAACGAGGTTCGGCAACGTGCCTACGTCCTCAGGAGCCACACCACACAATCTCTTTATTAATTGAAGAAGAAAATACAAGCTCTCAAACAAGGGGTAAATCTCTCTGAGATTCTCTCTCTCTTTGCAGTCAACCCCGGTCGACCGCGACCTGATCCAGGCTCTCCCAGCTTGTGTGCACGTTCGCGGTCGACCGACTCGGTCGACCGTGGATCTGTCTGCTCGTTTTCTCGTCCTTTTGATTCCAGCTCTTGTCTCGAACTTTGGGTCTAGACCTTAGACTAACAGACCCCTTCAGTGCATCAAAACTCAGAAATTATAATGAGAAGTAAGGGTTATAATTTTGATCTGTAACATGTCCCTTCAAGTTGATTTTTTTTATGGGTCAAATCTGGGTTGTTTTACATAGTAACACTTTCTTTCTCTAAAATACCGTCTAAAATGTGCGTCTTTTGGGATTTAAAACTAGTTTGGTTGCATAAACTCACTTCGGATTCGATAATTGAAGGTAAAAGGTTATAATTTTTAACCTGCAATACATTTTTATTATAAGATCTGTAAATATAATGAACATGTAACTCGTTGATTCATGTAATAATTGGTAAATAAAAATGCAGGGCGAGCAATACGAGGAGGAGACTGAAGAAAAACCATAAATCTCAAGCTGTGGATAGATTACTTGCTACATATTGAGCAGACTCGAGCTGGAATTATTTCATCGGAGTTGAGCTTTGTGTACCTATTGCATGATAAAAAGGAGCAGCAGTCAGTTCGTATTTTAATGCAAAGCTATTAAAATTTTATTTAGTTCTGGTGCTGAATTAATAATAGAAGTCATGTAAGAATGGCAGGAGATGAATTATTCTTTGAAATTTATGACTGGTGTCATGTAATTTGTTGAGAAATGTTGAAGGTTTGATGGTCACTTGTTAGAAAAGTTTAGGTGGAAGATTGTTTTCAGGGAATAATCGCTGCATATACACTAAATCTACATCAAAGAAAGAGTCATGCTAATATGTGAGATATTATTATTTATAAATTAGGCAGAGTATATGTTATCTAATAAAAATGAAAAGCCTGATTCCATGTATCGGGCCAGTCCATAGTTTATTTCCTTCTTGTTACGTTAGAAAAATATCATATTTTCCATTCCTGTAAAATAATCTAAAATGCAGTATAATAATGAAAACTGCATGCACCATTAAAAAATGAGGATATTTTTGTGTACATGAATGTAACACGTTTAGCCTTTATAAAAATAGATAAAAGAAGAAAAACGCCCATTTTCAGTTTAAAGAACATCAATGATTGCTTCCTTTTTAGTGGAAGGTCAATTATTTTGAAGATTTGAGAACTCTAAAAGTGACAGTTCATCAATTCTATCCATATGCACGTCAGCTAACATGGCATATCAAGCTTGGGCTTATCTTTTGAAATCTTGAAATTAGTAGATACAATTTGCAATATAACATGAAAAATTCCTTAAGGACCCAAAATATGGGACCAATAGAGAGGACATGTGAGGTGTCTCCCTCTTATTGCATAATGAGTTGGTCATCATTAAATTAGTACCGCAAAGCTCATATAACATTGGGTTATTTAGAGACTACTCCCTCTAATCTTTAATAACATCAAATTAGTACCTCGAATCTTTGGAAATGCTCATGAGCCCCTCAAATGCTAAGGAGTCTTGCAATTTGGTCCATCGGCGACAAAACCCCCCTCCCACCTTATGCTTCTCTTAAAAAGGAGAAAAAAAAGGGAAAACTTCTTGCTCATAAAAAATTATTAGTTGAAGGATAATTTGGTTATTGAGGGGTTAAATTGCAAAACCCCGTGTATTGCACTCATTCCTAATTTGTACTAAAACAAAAAATCACAACCATTAACTAGATAATCAATGGCTGTGATTATGTAGTGGTCCCTCCACTATTTTTTTTATAGTGGAGAGGATCATAATCCTAAAAGTTTTAACTTCTATTTTGGATAGTTAGAAGTGTAGGGGGAGATCACAAAATAACGAATCAAATTAACAAAAGGAAAAAAAATCCTTAAAGAAAATATAATTATAACCTTTTTTTTAGCTTCGGAAGAGGTAATTGTTTCTCAATTAACAATTTAAAGTTCTTATCGGATACAAAGAGTTGTTAAATGTTCCTCAATTAACAATTTATTTGTCACAATAGTGTGTGAGTTCCTCAAAAGGGCCACAACCCCGTTATTGTAGAAGTTTGATGTAGGCATCAAACAATTGAGGAAAGATAGGAGTAGATGAAACTCGAGCGAATATGACATTAAATGTACTCTTCAAATTGATTATGTTCTAATAATCTTGGTACGGAAGATGATTTAATTTGCTTACAAACATAATGGAGTTTTGGTTTTGGATCCGCTTACCAAATAGTAGTGGAGAAACCACTACGTTAATATGAAAAAGTTATTATTTAGTAGATGGCTGCGATCCTCCTCTTTTAGCGCAATAATGAAATGACCGCAATTAATGAGGTATCTCCAGAGATGAGTTGAAAAAAGAAATTTTTATTGGTTCTGCCTCCTTTTTTTTATAAGGAGAATGAATCTTTCTATCGAAGAATCGGAAAAAAGGGGTTAGAATCCATTGCGGGAATTAATGATTTGCTGGAGAGGAACCGAATCCGTATGGTAAATTCTAAATTTAAAATGAATCATAATCTTTCATTAAACAATTAATGGTTGCGATCGAAAGCTAAACTAACTTAACTATATACAATTTAGTCATTTCTAAAAACTAGTTATTTTAACAAAATTCCTAATCTGATTTCGTAAAAAGTTAGGATCTGAGGTAAATTTAAGCGATGACATTAACTGCCGTTTGTAGAGTAAAATAGCGATTATGATGATTTGAAGTTATTTTTATAATGAGATTGATGTGTTGCAGTTTGTAGAGTATCATAAAAGAATTTTCTAATACACGACGTGGTTGAATTTGAGCCAAATGTGATTATGACGTCTTCTCTCTTATTATTGATGTGTAGCCTCATTATTGGACATAAAAGAATATCTTCATGTGAAAATGATATCCAATATTTTCATTTAGACCTATGTGTGATATAGATTATAGAGGGCAAAGGAAGTTCCTACTTCATGAAAAAAAAATGGGGGGGGGGGGGGGGGGGGGGAATTTGATCTAAATTTCTATTCAAATTGGGTGAATTACTAGCTTTGGCTCCTCAACTGAGTAGGGAAAAGTATCAAGTGCACTCACATATTGTGACGTAAAATGTTCACCAAGTAAATGCTAATTATTGAACCACTAACTTCAAAATCAGTAAATAGATTCAAAATTTAACATTCTTTAAAGGCTAAATGGTATTTGAATACCACAAAGTTTGCCCAACCTAACACTTAAATAACACAGCTTGTATTTGGTGACAAAAAAATACCACAATTTTGGAAAAGTAGGCACATTACTACCATCTGTTAGTCACACGTGGGGATATTCCAAAGAATATTCTCACATGGTCAAATTGAATGTCTTTTAGCCTCATTGATTGTGTTAATTATAATTTATACCTATCCTCTCCCTCTTTAAAAATTTTATGATTCAAATCTAAACCTAATTCCCAAATTCATACACACTCTCTAACTTATACTAAAATCATTGCAGAAGCCAAGAAACCAAGCGTAAGGGTTTCAAGTTCATCAAGTTTTTAATTGACATTTTCCAAGCATAACCCAAATTTCCAAACTTAAGGTAAAGATCAAGTTTTTAGATAATTAACAATACCTCAAAGTACAAAAATTCTAGATTTATTCCACTGCGAATCTCTAAATTTGAACATGAAACCCCTTCATCAAGATCCCAAATAGAGTTTTGACCCCCAAACTTGGGCGAAATCCAAAATCAAACCTCCAGGGCAATCATTCCTTGTGAAGTAACGTGAACATATGGTTTTTTTTTTAACAGTTAGGGGGTATTAAATAGCTAGAAGAGCATTTTTGTCCGAGTGGTGTTAGAGGCACACCATGAGGCACACATCCGGTCACACTCCCCCACCTGCTACAGTGCAGCCTGTGAGGCCCCTGTTAGATATTTTGTTAACAAAAGGCAATTTTGCCTTCATGAATTATAATAAATATTGTAATTAAAACATGCAATTAAAAATATGTGTAACGGCTATATAATTATGGGGAACGTTACAAAATTTATGACGAACGTTACGGAATTAATTACGGGTTTTGTAACGTCTTTTCCAACCCTATATATATATCCGTATGTTGAGCTCAAAATGATAAGAAAAAAATATACAACAAGTTTCTCTTGTTTTTCTTCTCTCCCCTATAAATTATTTTCATCTACATCTTAGTTTTATTTTATGGGCAACTTCCTTCATCTGAGCTGAAGCTCTGCATTCTCGCCCGAGTGTAGAGGCCGGCCGTTTCCGGGGGTTTTTACCGCTAGGGGAAGGGAACCATCTGCGCCAGGGCGATAGGCGGGTTCTCAATCTTCTAGGGCAGTGAATACACGACTGCTCCCGTTCAGGCCAGTTTTAATTGTTTAATTTTTCGGATTTATCTGCATGCTATAATCTTAATTATTTGATAAATTTTCCAACAATCTAGAAGATTGATATGTTTATAGCTTTTGATTTAAATCCGAAAAATATATACTTCTTTCTGTTTACATAGAGAATCATTTTCCTTGTTCATTAAAAATCTGTTTACTGTTCACTGAGAAAACTATTTCGTTACTGTTCATCACATTTTTTTTTGTTCTGTTAATTTAATTAAATGTTGTAATTAATTGCTTTAATTTCTGTCAATTACTGCATTTATTGAATTCATTTAATTGTTGTTCATTACTGCTAATTAATTTTAATTACAATTAACCAGAGGTCTTCTTTTGTAAGAGTATGAACTCTGGACATTGAATATATCTTTATCGTAGTTCAGTATGTTAATATTAACCATCAGGACACCAGTGCAATAAGTATAGTCATGTAGTAGTTACACCATAATTCTAATTTTTTTTAAACTATATACTCAAAGTATTATTATGATTTTTGTATCAGTATTGTGCTGGAGAAAAGTTAATAATTATTGTAAGTTACGAATATCAAAGAACCTTTATTGGTTTCTAAAAGCCTAGTTTATATTTGTTAGAATCATCTAAAACCTACCCTTATTCCCTTGTGCTAGTGAATATGCACGCATTTGAAACATGCTATAAATTTGTAGCAATGCACATTTTTATTCTTGAAAATTTCATATGCATGGTTTTGACAAGAATAAAGAGAACAAACTCTGGATGCATAGATGCTTTGAAATATCTGGATTGTTTTGTTTATGGTTTAATGCTTTCATTTCTTTAAACTATGAATATGGTACCTTCTATTATTAATAATTCCATACTTTGAAGTGCTTATACATCTAATAAGCTTAGTACAGAAGGTGGTAAAAGTGAATGCAGATTTGTTCAGCAACTTAAGTGGCAGTTGTCTGCAGCAGATGAGTTTTTACTCTCAAGACATGAAAATCATGAGGTTCGAACATCAATAGGTAAACCCCTCCTCGGCCTTATCCAACATATGTTTGCAGTATAGTTGCTAGGCAAATTAAATGCTTGCAGGAAATATTTTAAAGTTTCTATATTCTGTTAAGAAACAAAAACTCATTGAGTGAACCGATTCAAGTTTTCTTGGATTAGTTGGTGTCTAAGGCAAGATTTAAGGGTTGCGTAACGCGCTCTGTAAGGAACGAGGTACTTAATTGATCTTTGATCAACCTTTATTACTATCCTTACCTGGCTAACTACCCGGGTAAAACTTTAATCTTTTCACTTTAGGAGTTTTTGGTTTGGAATAAGAGGACCGGAATTATGAGAAAAATTCATATGCATTTATTTAATTACGCTTCTTGCATCATATATTGCCTAATGATAAATGATCAATATATGAGCGAACCAAATCAAAGTGGTGCATTTTTTAAAATTCTATTTTATATGGTGGATTATATTTCAAATCTTCAAATGTAAAGT